GGGCATACCGCATTCCATTCGCAATTCAATGGGCGTGGCCTCTACCCTTGTTCACTATCCTATGGTTTGCGCCAGAGTCCCCTTGGTACTTTGTTCGCGTGGGCAAGTATGACGAAGCTGAGAAGTCTGTCATGCGACTGGGCTCAGCCATGCAGCGCAGTCACGCCAAAGAGACTGTGGCGTCGATGATCTACACCAACCAGCTCGAGATGAACATTGATGAAGGAACATCTTACCTGGACTGCTTTCGCGGGGTCGACCGCCGCCGCACCGAAATCGCGTGCATGGTTTTCATGGCACAGCCCTTTTGTGGCTCCGTGCTTGGAGGCACGCCTACATACTTCTTCGTCCAGGCTGGTCTTCCCGAGTCCATCTCGTTCCGCATGTCAGTCGGCGGTCTCGGTATCGCATCAGTGGGCACAGTGGCATCTTGGCTCCTCCTCGGCGCCTTTGGCCGTCGCACCCTGTATCTCTGGGGTCTTGGGCTGTTAACATCCGTTCTCATGACTGTCGGCTTCATCAGTGTTGGCGCTGGGGACTCTTCGGGTGGCAACTACGCCCAGGCAGCCATGATGCTGTTGTGGCTCGGCGTCTACTACATGACCGTGGGGCCTATCTGCTACGCCATTATCTCCGAGGTGTCCTCGACCCGTCTGCGCAACAAGAGCGTGTGCCTGAGCCGCATCGCGTACTACATTGGGCAGATTGTCTGCAACGTGATCAATCCGTACATGCTGAACCCAACGGCCGGCGATTGGAAGGGGAAGACGGCGTTCTTCTGGGGCGGGTGTGCTTTTGCCTTCTTCGTATGGACCTTCTTCCGACTACCGGAGACGAAGGACAAGACGTTTGCGGAACTGGATATCCTCTTTGAGAAGAAGATTGGGGCGCGGGAGTTTTCCGGGTACAAGGTGGATGCGTATGCTCAAGGTGGAGAGTCTTTGGTGAAGAAGGGATGATAAGCGACCTGTAGTGATGTCTGGACAGCCTAGTTAAGCCGTTTACTGTGATCCTTCACGTCCTTGGATCAGCTGTCTACTCAGTAATCGATACAATCTGTCATCGAACTCCAGTTTCCTCTGACCGTGGGGCCGGCGATGCTCAAGCAAGGTGGCTTTTTGCGCAATAGTTTTTAGTAGCTTTACCAGACGACTTGATCATCACATGGCGAGTCAATTCTTTACAGACAACCAACCTATGACTCTCGCGCCGCAGAAACATGTGAGATCTCAAGCGCGAATCCTCTGTCCGCAGAAGTAACTCATCCCAATCGTTCTGATTCTACCACCCTCCTCTGGGACCCATTGCCCCGGCGCACAGTCTCGTACCTGACAGGGCGTAAAGGCGCATATGCAAGCGAGTCACTTTCCTGATTCCCACTCACTCTTCCCGACTTGAGTCTAGCGCTCCACAGGAGACGAGCATGTTGACGAAGGCATCCCACCGGAGGCAAGTGTAGCTACCCCGCATGATCCACGACCGGGTATGACCATCATTCTTGTTACAGCAGCGGGGCAAGCTTTGATTCTTGAGAATGACCTTGGCTTCTGGGACAAAGTTTGGGGTAAAGAACAACAGCAGACGATGCGGACCTCTCGCGATACTAGGCTGTCGATCTTTGGAAAGCTCGCCGTGTCACGTCGTATCGCGTGCCATGACGACGAGGAGCTGCCGAATGAGCTCCCTCCGAAGGGAAAGAAAGAAGAAAATGATATAAGAATACGGCTTGACGTGTTCTGCCACGACCTTTGCATGATCCAACAACTCAAGCTTTCAGTTTGACAGAGAAACGATGGCTGAGATCAGATCCCTCGTCCTTTTGGCCCTCTTGGCCTCATCGCATGGCGTTTTCGGGGCTGCTCTGGCACCGGAAAAGCGTCAGGGGCAGGTCTTTGGGACCGCTACCGTCAACCTGGCCGAGCCGTCCGGCACTCCAGCCCATTTGGCGTCCGGCTTTATCTATGGTCTGCCCGACAACACGGATGGCACAGCAAATAAGGATATTCCTGACCGATTCATCGATGGCATGGGCTTCAATTACTGCCGTGCCGGCGGTGCTCAGCTGCCTGACGGGTCCCTAGGCTGGGCATCCGGGCAATACGAGGTTTGTGGTTCCTCTGGCATGGCAACACATCCTAGAATCTTCAAAGCTGACATGCTTGGTGACAGCCACGATGGCTCTCGACCCTTTCAAACTACCGCACGACTCGTCGCCACGGCGGCCGGTTCTCCCTGCTGATGCACGATCTCTGGGGCGCCGACAGTCTCCAGGGTGGCTCGTTCTCCTGGCCGGGCGACAACGGCAACTGGACCAGCTACGACGCCTTCCTCGACCAAGTCTTCAGCGACCTCAGAGCCAACGAAGCCCTGGAGGGTCTCGACATTGACATCTGGAACGAGCCGGACCTGCAGTCCTTCTGGGGCTCAACGCAGGACCAGTACCTCGCAACCTGGGCGCGCACCTATGCCCGGATCAGAAAAGACCTCCCCGAGGTGCTCATCACGGGCCCGTCGACCAGCGAGCCGGCCACCGCGGGAAGCGCCTGGTGGCAAAGGTTCACCGCTTTCATCGCCGCCAACGACGTTGTGCCAGACATTTACTCGTGGCATCTCCTCCGCACGAACCGCAACCTGCGCGAGTCGACCGACGAGTGGAACACACTCCGACAGGGGAGCAGCCTCCCCGCGCGACCCATTGTCATCAACGAGTATGCCTCGAACAACGGCGACGAGCAGTCGCCCGCCGGCGGCGTCTTTTATATCGCGCAGCTCGAGAGGCACAACACGCACGGCCTCCGCGCGAACTGGGGCTCCGCGTCGAAGCTGCATGATCTGCTCGCGAATCTCCTCGGCAAGAGGCCGTCGGGAGAGTACTTTCCCGTGGGGGAGTGGCACGTCTACGACTACTACGTCCACCAGATGACAGGCCAACGGGCGGCCACGAAGCCATCGACCGACGAGGCATTTGAAGTCTACGGCACCCATGCGGGGACTGTTGGTTCCGTCAAGGTCCTGGCGGCTGTGAGGCCTGTCGCTGGGCGCAGGACGTACCATGTTACGATCACTGGTCTGTCTTCTGTTGGTTTCGCCGGGGACCGCGTCAAGATTCGGACGAGGAGGTTCGATGGACCTACCATCTTTGACGAGATTCAAGGGTCGGTCGACCTCGGCGTGTGGGAACACGATGTTGTTTCCGATTCGGTAAGCAACAGCTCGTGACCGGCCGATTGGTGAGAATTGATGCTAACAGAGAGCAGGTCACGTTTTGGGTCTTGCCGGAGGCTGTCACGACGGCATATGCCTTTGAGCTCGTGCAGTAGGGAATGAGCGTGCTGTGACGCCTAAAACCATTGGGGCGCCATGAGGATGGACACGAGTCCTTCGCAGTCGGGACCTCGCGTGAGAAGCGAGCTCGGTCAAAGAAATGATCAGCCTGGGATCCTTGCCAGAGTTTCGTTGTTTGAGGAGTGGGTGTGGTTGATAACGCCAGCTCGAGGGGTCAGCAGTGATCAGTGAAATGGATATAAGAATTCAAAGGTGTACCTTGGCAGCTGCACAAGGCTCGTCACAACCGATTTCAGACCAGACCCTGGAGCGTCTCAGACGTCGGCGGCGTGACGTGAGTCAGGGCATCCAGTAACTCTTAGGCGATATGTGTGTTGTAGATTATACGCTTGTTTCAATAATGACAGCTGTCAGTGATGTGAGTAGCCCCAGGGTTAGGTATCTGATCCCTGAGTCTGGTACAGTTCCCAAAATCGAGAGACTCCGATGTTGTGATCAAAGGAAACAACGAACTCACACTGAAGAAGCCTGGTAGCAGCACTGGCTAGACCTGGTTTTCCGAAGGTGAGCCTCAATATTCCAACTCCGAGTCGAATGGTCCATAATGGTCTGTCGTGAGCCCTGTCGCTGTTTCAAGATCGTCTGGAGCCGAAACGTGGGACGATCACTCCGAGTGCTGTTCCAGCGTCGGAATAACCCATGTTTCTCGGAGTCCTTGGTCTGCCCTATCTGCTCTGTAACGATGTAACCTCGTATTGCTCCAAAACAGCTTCGGCTTCGCATTGAACGATACATAAGAAGCACACGACTACTCTACTCCGGATAGCACCTGGAAGATCGACATTCTATACTCCCTTGATTTTCCTTCTCTATTGCCTGGCGCAAATATTTGATCGACATACTTTTCCGTAAATTCTCCGACGCAATGCAGTTCACGTACTTCGTTACCTCCATGGCCATCCTGGCGATCGGCCAAGCCAGCACCAGTAGGAGTCTTTCAGCACTGTTATCGCCAGAGAGTTCTCGAGCTGACGCTTTTCGTAAAGTTCCCGTCCGCCGGCAAGACACAGCCCCTATATTCGCCAACGTAGGCGACGCCTGCTCCGTTGGCCGTGAGGATGGTGAGTGCGACAAGTTTGGCCGTTGCGTGCAGTTCATCCCGCCGAACGAGCAGAGCGTTCTGAACCAGGGCCGGACCGTCGCCACGTGTACCCAAAGTAAGCAACGAGGCCCATGAGCGTGTTCATCTGGCCCGCTGACGTGTTGACCTTTTCTACAGCACCTGACGGAGAGGCTGAAGTTGGGTTTGGCAATTCCTTCAATGGCGAAGGGGAGCCGCTTTTCGGCAATGCCGGCGTGGCATGCACCGTCGGGAATGAAGACGGCGAGTGCGACCAATTCGGTCGGTGTTCACAATTCATTCCACCCAATGAGCAGAGTATCCTGAACCAGGGACGGCCTGTTGATACCTGCACGGCGGGTGGCCAGGTCGGCACGCTGAAGCATTGAGCTGCCTGTGGCTGTTTGGCCTGACGTGAGCAATGGATTGCATGCATCCTTGCAGGCTGAAATAGGCGTTAACTAGGGATCGACCGCTAAGAATCTCGAACATTTGAATCCTTTGGTCATTGTATGTTTTGCGGCAAGGTATTCGGATCTCGATTTGCCAAATGAAATACAAATCGCCAGTGTCTAGGGAACCATGCTTCAGCAGCGAAGGCTCAGTCGATCAGTATCAAAATGCGGTCTAGATACGGCCCAATTCATATAGCCTCTCCCAATCTCATGATCGTCAATCACACTACTTCATGGGCAATACTTTGCCAGCGGCAGGACCTCTGCTACATCAGACGTCCGTACTGCTGCCACTGTACTTGGTCAAAGTGGTATTTCAGGATGCCCGAGAAATCCATCATGCAGCAGTAAGGGCAACGGCGGTCTTAGAGATCGCAGATGGCCGTATCTTAAGCTGTCCAATTGCGCCTGAAAGATACATAGGTGTAAGTACACAAACTAGATTTGGCCACGTTCACTGAAGAACAGAGACCATACATACAGACTGAGCATTTAACGGTCGCCGGTTGCACAACAGCGTGCACTATTTACTTGATTTAACACCATCGCAGTCTTTCACACACAAGAGATTTCATAACAACGATCATCACAAGACTTTATAACCGGGTATCATCAGAGCACTAAGGGCTTATCCAGCATCCCTGAACAGCAGTCTAGCCTACAGGATTTGGCATTGGCATAGACGTATGATACGCCGCAGGATGCACCTTTGGCGGGTTGTCCAGCTCGCCCTTGCTAGCCCTGCGCCATTGCCATGCCAAGGACATGATGCAAAGTGCAAGAAGTAGGCTGCGGAAACGGTCAGCGAGAGCAACAAGCACCAAGAGTGTCCCGTATTCGAAAACGTACATAGAAATAATCTGGACCACGATGAGAATGTTTCGAAGAGTCGAATTGGATGATGTATCAGCACTGCTCACCCAGCGCTGCACAAGCAGCGCAACAACCGAGAGCAATGAGATCGCCGATGATAAGGGAGGTAGTGCGTTGGACACAAAATGGGACTTGCGGTATTTGACCCAGCCGGAGAGTGATGCTGCGACGACGACCCATGTTGTGGACACAATTGTCTGCGTGGAATCCTTGGTCAGCCTCAGACTGTCGAGGTTGTCAGCGAAACATACCAAAGCAAGCGGTACTTTGAAAGCACTGCTGTGATCGGAGCGCAGAACGGCCCGCAAGCGCAAGCGACGCCGCTCCCAGGACGACGGTGATGACGCGGGACGGGAAATCCCCCGCGTAGAACAGAACAAGGCAAAAGACCATCTTGGAGATTTGAAGATGAAGATTGGGGAACTCTTGGGTCAGGTTAGATGTCGAAGGGTGTTATCTTCATGGCGCGTCCCGGCCCTGCGGACATGCCACTGTTTTATCAATCCGATCACTGTGAT